GCCGATTGTACGTTAATTCTGTTGCCACCTTCGATATTTCCGTAATTGGCGGACTCACCATCAGCTGTTGCCTCCTGTACAATGTGTACTCCCGGGGTTTGTCTTCTGGTTGTCCTGGCCTGCTTGGCTCCCCTCACAAGCTTGTGGTTGACGGTTGCTCTTCTCTTGGGAGGCATCACGAAAAGTCGGGGTGGTGAGTTGGTATTCCACAAGCGTAAATTGTCCCGAGGGGGAAGTTCGGGGGTAGAGCGGAATAAATGCGATACGGCGAGTGCTGAAATAGATGGTATTCAAAGCGTAATCGGCGAAACGGTCGCGATTGTGTAAATGCGATACGGCGAGTGTTGGAATAGATGGTATTCAAAGCGTAATCGGCGAAACGGTCGCGACTGGGTACAAAGGACTTGGGGAAGGGCTGCTCGCGAATGACGGACTAACAAAGGGCGGGATGATGCTTGCGCGGGATTATTCCCCGGGCACGGTGCCGAGTGGTGGCCCGGGGTGATTGAGTTACGAGGGGTGATTGGGTTACAGACGTAATTAGCCCATGGTTTGGATACGCGCGATAAAGTCATTTAGTAGTTAGTACTAAATGTAAGTATGGCCTTTGTGAAATAACATCACCATATATTGATATAAAGCACATGTTCTTAATAATATTAATAATACAACATAAACCACAAAACAATATCCATACAAAGAAGAACACGGATTAATTTGAATTTATACAAATCATGTGTTCTTAACTTCCATTCGCAGACGCCCACGACTACAAGATTCAAGTGTGCGCAACAGACGTTGCCGACTTGTGGCAGTGTTGCACCCGACCTCGTCCCAAAGGAGTAGACGATGACTTTCAGACTCTGTGCGACGAAATCTTCCGCAACCAGGCAATGCGTCCGACCTCCAACAGCCAGGAATGTTTAGTCTTATTTGATCTTCTGACTGCCACATTAACTCACTAGAACACTCCTGTTAACTTCCATTCTTTTATTAAAGCTAGTATGAAAGAAAGTAATAAAACTCTTCTGTATCACATTTACTGGACGTTTTAACTTTGATACTGTTAAATGAAAACAAGGTTTATCATAAGACTACAAATGCCCCCGCCCCCACAGATTCGAAAGAACAAATCAATCATCTGACTGTTACAGTAACTCCAACTAGATCACGGTAGAGGACGCCAGAAATGGGCTTCACACATTGTACCCATGTCGGGAATCGAACCCGGGTCTTCGGCTTTACGAGCGTACGCTTTAGCCACTACGCTACCCCACCGCCCCAACTCAGCACGAACGACTGCAATGTAGTTAACCCGACACGTAAGGAGTATTGGTACACAATTTATCTGTACGGCTGTATTTAAATTTGTTCGAGCAAGCAGCCAACTTTGGTGTTTTTTATTTGGTAATAATGATTAAACGCTAAAAAATGTATTACAAGAAAAGCCATAAGTGTCGCGAATATCCATCTCAATAACATACAAACAAAATATACTGAACAGCATTGAAAACGCATCACCATGAAAATGGATGTATTTTTATCCGGGCTTAAGTCGTATGAAAATATATAAGTGAATGAGTAATATACGACGTTCTGGACGAAGCATGAAGAAGAAAAGCTCGTCAAAACACATTCCTAAATATGTTTGTGAGCGAAATCGCCAAAACGCAACAAATTGCGTGCACATCATGGAAAACGAGTTTGTTTCGCGGGAAGCATGCAGAATAGGGCTATAAAAGACTGACTTTTAAAAGCCACATCACTTGTTCCTGCAGACGTAAAGGGTACTGACACAAGAAATGCCAAGATTAACAACAGAGGAACGTGAACGTGCCTTGTGCATGCTTCAAGTTGGTACGTCAAGTAGAGTCGTTGCACAACGGTTTCAATGCCATCATTCAACAGTCCTCAGGCTACTGAGCAGATATCAGCAGACAAGAACCACCAGAGATCGACCACGTCCGGGTCAACGTCGTGTAACTACACCACGTCAGGATCGCCCTATTGTTCGTCGGCATCTTCGTGATCGTACACTTACGGCTACAAGGGCTGCAGCAACCGTACAAGGCCGACGGAATAGATCAGTGCTGACACCGTACGTCGACATCTCCGCTCAGCAGGGCTACGTGCTGGACGTCCATATGCTGGACCCATACTCACTGATCGACATAGAAATGAACGTCTGCGTTGGGCCAAAAGGCATCGTCATTGGAGATTGCGGCAGTGGCATGGTGTGCGGTTCTCTGATGAGTCCCGTTTTCATTTACGGAATGCTGACGGTCGACTGCGAGTGTGGCGTCGACGTGGAGAACGTTACCGCAAAGACTGCGTTGTATAAACAGATGAATGGGGGGGAGGGAGTGTCATGGTGTGGGGTGGCATCAGTCATAACCATCGAACAGAGCTCCTTGTTTGTCGTGGAAGAGTTAATGCCCTTTACTACAGGAATAACATATTCGCAAATCACGTCATCCCATTCTTTCATCAGCACCAGGATATGCACACCTTCCAGCAAGTCCAGCAAGTCTTCCTTACACTGATGACGTAATTGTAATTACAAAATCGGTCATTGCTCAAGTGGTACTTGTTGTTACCCTGTCTGGCGCTCGGCATTAATGGGCTAAAACAAGGACTGGTCGACGTACGGTGTCAGCACTGATCAATTCCGTCGGCCTTGTACGGTTGCTGCAGCCCTGGTAGCCGTAAGTGTACGATCACGAAGATGCCGACGAACAATAGGGCGATCCTGACGTGGTGTAGTTACACGACGTTGACCCGGACGTGGTCGATCTCTGGTGGTTCTTGTCTGCTGATATCTGCTCAGTAGCCTGAGGACTGTTGAATGATGGCATTGAAACCGTTGTGCAACGACTCTACTTGACGTACCAACTTGAAGCATGCACAAGGCACGTTCACGTTCCTCTGTTGTTAATCTTGGCATTTCTTGTGTCAGTACCCTTTACGTCTGCAGCAACAAGTGATGTGGCTTTTAAAAGTCAGTCTTTTATAGCCCTATTCTGCATGCTTCCCGTGAAACAAACTCGTTTTCCATGATGTGCACGCAATTTGTTGCGTTTTGGCGATTTCGCTCACAAACATATTTAGGAATGTGTTTTGACGAGCTTTTCTTCTTCATGCTTCGTCCAGAACGTCGTATATTACTCATTCACTTATATATTTTCATACGACTTAAGCCCGGATAAAAATACATCCATTTTCATGGTGATGCGTTTTCAATGCTGTTCAGTATATTTTGTTTGTATGTTATTGAGATGGATATTCGCGACACTTATGGCTTTTCTTGTAATACATTTTTTAGCGTTTAATCATTATTAACAAATAAAAAACACCAAAGTTGGCTCCTTGCTCGAACTAAATTTAAATACAGCCGTATAGATAAATTGTGTACCAATACTCCTTACGTGTCGGGTTAACTACATTGCAGTCGTTCGTGCTGAGTTGGGGCGGTGGGGTAGCGTAGTGGCTAAAGCGTACGCTCGTAAAGCCGAAGACCCGGGTTCGATTCCCGACATGGGTACAATGTGTGAAGCCCATTTCTGGCGTCCTCTACCGTGATATTGCTGAAATATTGCTAAAAGCGTCATAAAAACATACTCACTCACTCATGTTGTGTATTTCATGCATAAGGAGTTCGGGTTTGATTAAGGTTCTTTCAAGTCCTTGAAGCTTATTAACTTTGCTTTTGTTGCTGAAATATTATTTTGTACATGTGCAATAGTGTGTTCTCATGTGTTAAACAACATTAAGAATGTGTAATGCTGTTAAGTTGATACCTTAATTTATGACTTTCACTTATGCCAGCTTTCAAGTGATTGTGTGAAAGTTATCTCCAGTACATACACACGTAATATGCAATAATGTAAAATTGCAATGTCCTTGTGCATCGCACACCATATTGATATAATTATGTTATGATATGTTATTGCGCTACATAGCTAATTTGCTGAAAGGTGTATGTCCAGTGGTATTAGAAATACATTTATGTATTTTCAATGTTTCGGTTTGTTTAGCTATTTTTCTAATTTACTGTACTTCAGTACCATCCCAGGGTGTCATCTCATTGTTAGTCAAGGCAATACTGATATCTCAGTAAACCCTGTCCTTACTAAGCTACAATTAACAAAAAACATGCATGTACTCAAATGATGTAATGTGACCATTATTTATGTACAGTAAACTACGGTTATAACGAACTCAAAGGGACCACTTTCGATACAACCGTAGTTTGTTATAAGCATATATACAACAAATGGCTGGGACCAAAACTGGCTCGTTATATCCGAGTTCGTTATAAATGTATTTTGCTGTATTTCGTGTGACATTTTATTATTGGAATTGTTTTCATTTGATCATTTTCATCACTCATGTTTAACCAGATGAAGAGCGAAGGACATTGTGTGTGAGAGTACGTGAAATAAAAGAATCAAAACGTATCATTTGACAACATAGATGTTGGACCTTTCTTCCATGATACACATTTTTAAAACAACAGAAAACCGCATACTTTTTATGCTTTTAAATGTTATATTTTTCCTGTTTCCACGGGAACAAGTTAGATTAAACGGAGGGAATGTTGTTGTTTCTGGAGCAGAACTCAAAACTATGCCAGAATTTTCTTCCAAACTTGGTACATGTGTTAATAATGGGATAAAGTAGCGCCTTTTTCTATTTTTTTAATTGCTTTTTCGTTTTCATGCCAAACTCTCTAAAAGTGAAAGGCATTATAAAAATACCCTTGTATACGGACAGATAAATTTGATAGAAATTATCTCATCTAGTTGGAGTTACTGTAACAGTCAGATGATTGATTTGTTCTTTCGAATCTGTTGGGGCGGGGGCATTTGTAGTCTTATGATAAACCTTGTTTTTATTTAACAGTATCAACGTTAAAACGTCCAGTAAATGTGATACAGAAGAGTTTTATTACTTTCTTTCATACTAGCTTTAATAAAAGAATGGAAGTTAACAGGAGTGTTCTAGTGAGTTAATGTGGCAGTCAGTAGATCAAATAAGACTAAACATTCCTGGCTGTTGGAGGGCGGACGCATTGCCTGGTTGCGGACGATTTCGTCGCACAGAGTCTGAAAGTCATCGTCTACTCCTTTGGGACGAGGTCGGGTGCAACACTGCAACAAGTCGGCAACGTCCGTTGCGCACACTTGAAACTTGTAGTCGTGGGCGTCTGTGAGAGAAGTTAAGAACACATGATTTGTATAAATTCATTCAGTTCTTCTTTGTATGGATATTGTTTTGTGGTTTATGTTGTATTATTAATATTATTAAGAACACGTGCTTTATATCAATATATGGTGATGTTATTTCACAAAGGCAATACTATGGGAAAGTATATTAATAATGTTAATGAACCACGAAAATAATGCGATCACGAGTTCAAACACCACCACCACTACTACTACTACTACTACTACTACTACTACTACTACTACTACTACTACTACTACTACTTGCCTACCACCATTACGACTATTATTACCACTACTACTATTACTACAAGCATGATAAAGGACATAATAAACACACCGCTGATTGCTATTGCGGTGAACACTTTCGTCAATCTTCTGCTCGCCGATTTCCCGCAAACACAAGCACACAAACACACAAACACACACACACACACACACACACACACACACACACACACACATACACACACACACATTGTATGTTTGCTTATAAAACCGTAACATGTCTGTTTACGAATATATCGGATATAGAAAATGTACATTAAGTACAATGTTTGATTTTGCACCGTACAATCCAAACACGGGGTTTAAGTACACAGGTTGTATGTGTTGTAACCACAGTATCGCCTCCATGTGTTCCACAATCGTACCATACATTTCTGGCATGCTGTACATCAAATCTGGTCTCCCATTAAGCTGACCGTTTACCCGCCTCGGCAGATGTGTATTCCACTCGTCTCTTATTCTGTTTAGATCCGCCTGAATCACGTCCATACAGCTGTATCGGAGACAGTCCCTTACAAGACAAAATCAGTACATGGAAACGTTTATATTAAAACTAAGGGACTGGGCATGGTTATCAACAGAGTTTAATCCTCAAAAAGGATGAACCACATTGTGTTTATCTCCATTCTACAATGACAAAATTACTTGCGAACTCCGGTATCAGTGAAAACACTGAGAAAAGCGGAATGGATTGAGTTCAATGTTTTGAGTGGGTTGTCGATCTGAATTAAAGAGATAATGTATCCCAATAAGATCCCAAAAACCAAACATGGCGCTTGTTTGCACAAACATATTTTTTTCACATCGAAATACGTCACTCGCAAATATGACAGACATCAAAAGTGTGTATCAAAGCTACTTGTCCGCTATAAAAAAATAAACAAGCCCGGCATGTTTTCGTTGTTCACCACACATCACTGTTTTGATGTCATACAGCTCATTTTGACGCAGAAAATCTAGCGTCATACTTGGCTATAGAGAAGCGATATATTAAGCTGTCTGTGGTTCTTAAAACGATATAATACGATTTCACCTGACTACACTGAACGAAAGATACGAAGACACAGGGGACCCTGACGTTTTGGAGAAGCTGTGATAGACCTCACACACCCTCTATACTTTTATCTTGTTTTGACAGGTAAACAAAGCGACAATACCCTTTCTATATCCAATAGAAATGTCTGCATAAAGCTCCGACTACATCATGAGCATGTGTTTATCAATTACTATCAAATAGTAATGATACAAGGTGTTCGCGAAAGGGTAGCGTTTCCTGTCTCACCGGTGGCACCCGTCATAAACACATGCAAAGGCAAGTCAATTGTTGACCTGAACAAACATGGGAACATATGATACAAGTCAAAATAAGGAATTGCATCAGACATCATATTTGTCACTGGTGCATCAAATGTGGAAATATCATCCACATGTCTACCATAAACATTTTGATAGCTTTACTGATGCCTCGAATGTTGTAATTTGATAGCATGGTGCTCTTTCAAATCTTGGTAGAAAGAGCATGCTCGATTGTATCTCAAAAGCGAAATATGAACGCCAAAGGCTGGAGCTGCTGGAATATTGCTGTACATATGAAAGAGATGAGCAGATCTCACTCGTCTCCTTTATTTCTAGTTAAGTTGGGTAAATCAATGGAAGGGAATTGGCTACTTGATTGTTATTGAACGATGTCAGATGATCGGTATACCTGAAGCTTAAGTTAAACCTTTCTTGGCCAAATTACCTTTTTTTTACTTTGCCAATCCAAGCAGAATTTCCGATTCATATGCTTAAGGAAACAGATCCGTAAGAAGGGGAGCAAATTTGGTGCCCATGGGGATGACTTCTTCTTGCCTAAATGTTTTTCCCCAAAATTATACGTTGATGTTATCAATAAGGAAGTCAAGCATTTCACATTTTGTTTTCTCAGTAAACTTCAGATGGCATTTGCTTTCATCTTTCACAAATTGTCCTGAACCTCTGAGTGAGTGAGTATAGTTTTACGCCGCTTTTAGCAATACTCCAGCAATATCACGGCGGGGGACACCAGTAATGGGCTTCACACATTGTTCCCATGTCGGGCCTGAACCTCTCAATAGAGATACGTAACTGGATCAGTGCTCACCAAGTTTTGTTTCCACCATATTCAAACTTACTTCAAAAGCATTTGAAAATCATAACGAATTCAGTGAATGACTCTGCATCCTACGCACGGATCTTAGCTAATCAAAAGGATGTCTTGAAGCGGAGTCATGACTGTAGCATAGTTTGTACCTACCTTTCAAAATCATCAGAAAAATTGATGGCATTTGTGTTCTGTAAATCTTTGAAAAGATCTATCCAGAAAGCAATGCCACCTTCCTTCATGGATCTCCACCACCTTTCTATCCTCTGTAATGAATAAAGGTAGTTATGAGTACTTACGCCGAGTACTTAAACGGTTAGTTTATGTCATTCCAGAAACTTTAAGGAAGACACCTAGAGGAATTCAATGAATATCACACGTCGTTTGGCAACATGGTACGCAATGATTTCCAATTCTTGGACCTTGACACGAAATTTTGACATCTCTTAACTAACAGGCAATTACTCCTTAATACAAGTTGTGGGAATGGAGAGAGCATTTGGTAGAGCAGGATATGAGTACCTTTTGGACTGATCTTCAGTGAAAGTCATATTATAAGTCTCAGCACTATATAGCCTTGTACGCTCTGTTGACTGTTACATTGAAGGTTTTAATCATTCATGTTTTGTTGAACATATGATCGAAAAGTGTTTTGTTTGTTTCTTGTTTAACGCCGCACTCAGCAATATTCCAGCTCTATGATGGCGGTCTGTAAATAATTGAATCTGCACCAGACAATCCAGTGATTGACACTATGCGCATCGATCCACGCAATGATATGCATCAATCAATGCAGCAAGCGTGACAACCAAATCCGTCATTCGCCTCTTACGACAAGCATAGTCGCCTTTACGGCAAGAAAAGAGTTTTGAGCATAATTGATTAATTTTTCACCCATGGTCAATAATGCGCTCTTTCTTTGCCATTTTTTTCTTACTTGGTTTGAATTAGAACTTCCAATTATAACAGAACTCTCCCCTGCCATTTCATCAGTGTGTCGCCACCTGAATGATTTCTGCATGTCTTCAATGACACCGTTCTCGGTCCCTGCGTCCATTCTGATGCATCTTGGGACACCTGCATGGCAGCTCAGATATTGTGTTACAACGTTACGTAAAACGGAATTGTTACACGATCTTTTCATGACATATCAAAACTCACGATACGATGAAGTAATCAACTATACTAAAACAAATGAGAATTCCTCAATGTGATAGTTGAAATGAGAACAAGCCTGATAATTAATCACACCTTGACACACACACATACATGTGCTATGATACAAACACATGAAAACGGCAGTGTAATGCCCGACACGGAGTGTGCAAAATGTTCTACTTCATAAGAAGTACATAATAAAGTGTCAAACTTTGCTAATGATGTGGCCAAATGCTATTTAATACAGTTTAAGAAAATTGTTAAAGGGAAAGTATTACATCTATTACGAAATGGGAACAATAAACATTGAAAATGTAAACAAAGACAACCAATAAAGAGAGTGCTGTGAGCGTTCACATTCAGATAATTTCTGCCAAATTACTGATGCTTAAAAATAACTCTTACATCTAATGATTTGAACGTCATGAATATGACGTCGTCATAGGTAAACACATACATGACCAAATCAATCTTCCCAAATTCAGAACTACATATTAAACATTAAGTATGTTTATATTTGTAATGATTCCAAAGCTACTACCTTGCAGCGTTTCAATAAAATTCAGAAAGTAAGAGGCAACAACGTATGGATTGTTGTTCGTGTTAGACACTTCAAGCCACAATATCTTCCAGTAGAACCTGAAAAAGAACGGGAAATGTTTACAAATGAATATGGATGGACAAGTGTACATACGTGTACATACATACATACATACATACATACATACATACATACATACATACATACATACATACATACATACATACATACATACATACATACATACGCTTCAACTGAAAATGATGTCCAAAATAATGAGTACAGTATTAATTTCGAGCATCCAGACACTTCAGAATACCATGTTTGTGCATGTCAGTCCTTAACCCTTAGTATAAACTCACTTATAAAATATTCACCAGCACCAGCACCTTGAAATTCCCACACATGTCCGAAGCCATGGGAATATAACATATTCTTAATACCAGAAACCCATGTATTCCTACCAACGGCATCAAACCTAACTAACATATCGTAGCACCGTTTTGGAAATATCTCTTGAGACGCATTAAGGAGCTTAAATCAGTATCTTAAACATCTTGTGTAAGAATCAATATAATTACCATATCGACCACATTCTCCGAGCTTTGCAACATTTCGAGATTTGGAACTAATACCTAAAACAGATTTACAAAACTTTGCTTGGAAACGTTCGAGAAACAACCATTTATGAACCCCCCAAATCTCCGAACCATATAAAATAATAGGTTTAAGCTATGAGTCGAACATTTTAAACAACATTTTAGGAGCGATATTTCGAAGTGTATAACTGAGCTGTGTTATAGGAAATAAAGCTTCACTTGCTTTCAAAACTAATGTCTGAACTGTTCTCGACCAACACAGCCTGTTTGAAAATATAATACCCAAATAACTGTAATATGTAGAAACCTTGACAGGCATATGTCCTAGTTTCCATTTCTCGTAGTTCCTCAACTTACCACCATTACGAGAAACTAAGATATCAGTTTTTTCTATGTTCGCTTTTAAACCCCATTTGTTTCAGGATTTGTGTAATACATCAATCTTCTCCTGTAGTTCAAGAACTGAATCTGCAAAAATACACCGAAAGTCATCAACATATAAGAGAAGAACCAATTGTAAATTCAATATTTGTAAAAGCTACAATGAGCTTCATTATAAGGTCAATGGCGCAGATTTACCCATTCACATACTTACGCAAAAGAAACGCAAGTGAAGTTCTGTGTGTATGAAATGCACAAAATAATAATTTGTGAAAACAAACATAAAGAAACGTATTGAAGAAACGCTGTTCACTGTTTACATTATTCTTTTCGAGCACGTAGCAGGAACGCATTCGTTTTTCCTCGTTTGACGTTTTTTGCACGTGCAACACAATACACATGAAACAATGCGTGCATTTCACCCATTGTCCATTCTCTATAAGCTCCCGTACAAAAAACTGCAATGGGCCGCACAGCACCTGAGTTAGCGGCGTCAACGGTGGCTATAAATTGTCTCCTCAGAGCATCAAGGTTCAACCTCTCCCACCCACATCAGAGTGTTGAAACGACGTATTGTGAGTTGTGCTAGCTTCTGTGTCGTACAGGCCAACCGATGGGGAGGAGGAAGCATTATGGGGTGGGGAGGCTGCAATTACGATCACAGGACCCCTCTACACGTGTAATGTCAAGGTGTGACTGCTGTCGTGTACGACCCGTGAAAATACGGGGTCGAATAGGTCTTCAGTAACCCATGCATGCCGTAAAAAGCAACAATGTTTGTCGTAAGAGGCGACTAACGGGATCGGGTGGTCAGACTCACTGACTTGGTTGATATTTGCCATCGTATCCCAATTGCGTGGATCGATGCTCATGATGTCAATCACTGGAATGTCTGGTCCAGACTTGATTATTTACAGACCGCCGTCATATAGCTGGAATATTGCAGAGCGCGACGTTAAACAACGAACGACGAAGCTGTCATGTACCGGGATGATATTTTTCGTAATCACGTCAGACCTCTCTTCCTGGGTCAACTTCAACTCCAGGTCTTTCAGCAGGATAACGCTCGTCCCCATACAGTACAAGACTCTGTGGACTTCCTCAGACTGAATAACATTCCTGTGGAGGCTTTGGCTGTCTTTGTCATCGGCGCCAGTTGAGCATGACTCTTTTCTCGGGTGGGTTTGGTGATATTTAAATAAACACGGATGGTTTCCATCAACCAATCGACGCTTATTTGGTATCAAGTATTTTCTCTGTTATCATTTATTGACATCATCAACATATCTTTTATAGCCTTAGCGTTATTGCATGTAATGCCCAACTTGCGTTTCTTTTGCGGTAACTTAGCTTATTTACCCGCATATGGCTCCGTGAATTGCAAAACCATATGGTTTTAATTTATCATTACCGTCGATATGGACGAGATAATTTGGTCCTTTGTTAATGTAGACACGCCTTGGTAGCCGATGGCAAGACCTCATGTCTAACTCACGCTGAAGCTGGAGGACTGTATCTCTGAAAGTTTATTTTACGATTTTGAGCAGGGTTCAAAAGTGATGTTTTATGAAAGAACTGTTTGCACCTCGTGTATCACCGACCAAAACATATTAACCGCCTCCGTGGTGTAATGGGTATAGTGGAAGGTAAGTGGGTGCGTTCATACCCTGGCCGCGGACATAAGTGTTTTTGTTTATAAAGAAAAGAAAGGGCCGGCCATTCGTTATGCAGATTGTAGCAGTGGTGTAATGCTAAGCCATAACTGCTCTGGTGTGGGATGAGACAGACAGACAACCCTGGTCCGCGCACTTCCAAAATACCCATCCCTTCAATCGTAGAGAAATAGATGGGAAATGCAAATTGTCTCTGTACATGATAAAGCAAAACAATATGTTAACAATGCGGTTGGCGGCCATATTATTCCTTTTAGGTTGTATGTTGTTCATTAAATTTCTTTGGTTATTCATAAATTCTGTTTCATTTGTTTCTCAGTCACGTGTGTAACGTCATGTGATTTTCAGATGTTTAGACCTTGTTTTGCTTCTACTACATTACTTTGATTTCGAGACTTTCTAAATTGTGTGAGTGACCTGATTACCCGTTCAGCGAACACCTGGTGAATTTTTTGAAATTCGCCGGTGATTCTTTCATACTATTTCACCCCTATTTTGCCTTTTACACCAAGTGAAGTCTGTTTCGGTGTATGGTCAGAGCTGGTTGTTTTGTGCCGTTGACGTTTCATATTTACAAACTGAGCTAAGGCACGAAATGTTATTGTCTTCATGTGTATATAATCGCAACAAAACATTTTTAAAATAAGTGGAAATCTCTAATAAAAGCAGAGTCCATTGTAAGATAGTGATTATGGAAAACTATCAAATAGTGATGATACCAGGTGTTAGCAAAAGGGTGAGCGTATCCAGCCAAACCGGTAGCACCTGAACAAACACATGCAAGGGAAAGTCAGGTGTTCACCTGCAAGAAACAACACTGGATCATATGGTACAAGTTAAAATTGGACATTGCATTGGACATAACTTTTGTCACAGATACTAGTACGGTAAAATTAGAAACTTCCCCTACATGTCTGCCATAAAACCTTTTGGGAGTTTTACTGAGGTCATGGATGTTGTAACCATGATCAAACAACTTTTGAAGTTATTGCTCATTGACTATTGGAAATTTGAAGTCCTATCTTGTGTCATGCAGTCTTCTGGAGAGTGTTTTGTAACTCTCATTATTTATGCATAGATATGAATATGAATCAGATGAGGCAGTTAAACTGGCCTTATTATGTTTTTTCTAGTTCATGTGGGAACATCAGTAGAAGGGACTTGGCTATGTGACCCTTATTAAACGATAGCTGATAGTTGATATACCGATGACCTATGTTATACTTCTTGTCCAATTTCAAGTTATTGACTATTCTAGGTTTAATATTTCACTAGATACCTTGGCACTGAGAGACCATATGACGACAGCAACCGTGACCGCATTGACCGACATCCCAGATAGGCACCATTGCCATTTAGTTCCTGCTGCAATAATGAAGCGTAACTGTAAAACAGTGTACTTGATCTCACAGCAATGATATATAATCTTTTTTAATAAATATGTCTGTATTATAGTGCTTGAAACATGGCCTTTCAAATCGAAACTTGAATGCGGAATTCTCAAGGATACAATTCAGCTGTGTATTGTTGATTATATGAGCGTTAAAACGATATATATCCTTTATTTCATTGTAAAAACAGATGATACTGTAAGTTGCTTAATGTAAGTAATTAAGCAAACAGAAACTTGGCGTTACATGTACCTGTACTGATCGCCGTACCACTTGAATATTTGAAGCACCACGGCGGCATAAATTCATTCTTCTGAAGATACGTTTCAGTTGACGGATACTGTAGGGAATGATAATTATTATTCATAACTGTCATTTAATGCCACCTTGCAACAATGCAATAAGTAACTGTTTGGCAAAGTGACTTGGGTAGTATTTCCAAACACTTCCAGAAATTGAGTTCATTGGCATACAATCAACGAAACATTGTGTGAATACATGTACATACAAATGATGTATACACACACCTCAAGAGTAGATAAAAGATGACTATTAAGGAAAGGTCATTGCTCAATTTAGTTCATACTAATATTGTGACACTGACCTAATATTGTACATAACACTGTTTATTCCTGTACTACATTTATGCACAAACAATATCAAAGAGAATGTAACACTGCATATGTAATAGTTCTTTATGTACAATTTATGAATATGTTTTGGTTTGAATGTTCATGATATGTTCATATACAGGTATTTTTTGCTCACACTTTATATCAATAACTGGATGACATACACAGTGTAAATAAGTAATACGAACCAGATGGAGAAACCGTGTCTTAGAACTAGAACTACGCGTATTTCTTCATAGCTCAATCCATCAAAAAAGTATTGACGAATTAAATCATCTCCTGAAAGGCGTTAAGGGACATAGGCTGCGTGTGGAACAAAAACATCCTACTGAATGAAAATACATTTCGAATAATGAATACTTAAATTATACAGTATTCATATTATAGGCACAGAACCGAATATACGGGTTAAGTAATAGGATACTAAATAATCAAGGATTTAACAAATAATTTGAAGAGACCAGGTCGAAAACTTCACATTTCGAAAACTGCATTTATTGACACTTTATTGTAATATTCCATTGAAACATATTTCATGAGTATAACATTTACTCGAATAAAAGAATTGTATGTTTCATCAATTGGAGATAAAGTTCTCAGTATCTGCAATATCTTCACCGTGCCTCGTTGTGTGGGGAAAAAAGGATACTTCTTGTAGGCGGAGCCCCACTTGAACCAAAAGAAGCCATTGGCAGCAACCTACGTGAAAAGAATATGTTGAAATATTACAGAGAAAGAGCAAAATCAACTTCTCACGTTACCTGCGTGAAAGAACAATTGTACAAAAAAATAATATTTATGAGATACAATGTCACATACAAGTTATAGACGAAGAGAAAGAATTGTTTGTAGCTCTTAGTTAGTTAGTTAAAGCTTAACGTCACATCGGCAATATCTCAGCAATATCGTGACGTTGTAGCTCTTAAAATTACTGGATGATACACATGAGTTGTACTAGCATTAACCACATCTTCAATAAAACTGTAAAATGACCATCAGGTGAATGGGCATCGTCTATTTTCGCCATCAGTAGAGTTCGCATTTGTCGTTATGATGGAAATTTTCTGCAACAATTACTTATGTTATTTTATGTTACATGCAGGACTCATTTGTTTGTATTTATTGTTCAAAATTCATGTAAATAGTTTCCTGAAGCCACCTTGGATAGTCATTAGTCTCTAGGAGCTTGGGTATTTAGAAGTGACTTACTTCTCGGGTTGCGTCTTTTAGGGTTTAGCACCTGCAGCTTTATATCGTTTAAAATGTTTATGGTATGTTACATAACTGTTAAATACTGTTGTATATTATATATGTATATGTGATTGGCCGACTCTTGGCACTTTAGATGATAATTGTTACGTCACGTGGCGTACGTTATCAATAATAGTAGGTATATAGAATACTAAACGGGCTTCCTTTTGATACCATTTTTTGTGTTTCATTAATTTTGCATTACACGGGAGCGGCGAGTCTTGTATTTTAGTTATTACTTGCCATGTATAAGTCTCTTTGTAAATTTCACTGTCGTGTGTGAATAGGCAGACATTTCCGCGATCCACAGCATAATCCAATTGAGCCTTAACCGAATAATACTTTAAGCACGTCAAAAGTTGACGCGTTTTATTTAATGCCAATCAACAGCCTACTTTTAGAATTCTGGGGTCGGTTCTACAAGGCTATCGTAGCACCTATAGCTTATCGTAACTCCCACACTATAACATACACTTACGACTGTCGTTGCGCTACGACCGTCTTGTGGTACTGGGCCTAGCACCACCAAGTTTACAAACACGTCACAACAAATTTGACGTAATTTATGGAATATTGATGCAAGATGCTTCGGCGAAACAATACTATGTGATGTCAACCTAGCAACAGAGTCGCTGGGGTCATCGACTGTGCCTAAGCTTCTATCAGTGATCTAGCATCTCCACACGCCTTGTTGAATAAGCGCAGGGGTGTTGGCAGTTTTAAATAGTGGTTAGTGAAACTTGGTCCCGCAGTACATAAGAACGCGCTTTGGTTCTACACGGTGTGTTGTAGAGCTGTATGTTAATGAACCGGGCGAGAAATAAATATTGACAATGTCATTTCATCAACAATGTCGCGTTCTCGCACTGTCGCGCTTTTAGTAGTTACTGCTTGTTTTAATTTCTTAACAAAACATGATCTATAGTTGTAGATGAAAACGTCCAGTGAACGAAATCACTCACATCAATTACAAATGTGTTATATAGACGTCCTTTAAGGAGCTAAGTTTGTGGGTTAAAGGGTCTTTGGTTAATTGAATTTTGAAGTATTAATTCAAATTAAGTTTATATGATTCAAATATGGATATCGCAAATACATTTTTGTGACATTCGTGAGTCACTATTGTTTAATGCCGCACTGAACAGTATTTCAGTTGTGGCATGTCAGCTACAGGTGGGAGGAAAGTCGAAAGTCATGTAGGTAAAAACAAACACAATCAGGACGAATCTGGAATTCGAACCTTACAGGTTTCTGGCACGCCTAGGGAGCGTCACACTGCACAGCGAATTCATCGATTTGAGAGTGTGACCGAGTTAATTTATAATAATAATAGTCCATTTGTATGGCACTTTTTCACGCTGAATATCATACTCAAAACACAGTATTACCACTGTCCTTCTCATCTCCAAGGGGAGTTTGTCACGACCTAACCTGCCTGTGACATGCTAGAAGGTTTACAGCCACGTTGTCATATTATCTTTCCGGGTACCCATTCACAGTGGCATATTTCGAACAAAGTCGACACCACATGCGTCACGTGTGTATGAATGTGGGACAGGACGGAGGCACTTGAAACTATCAGGAGCCAAGCAGCCGAACACGGTCACCCATCCAAGGACTCCTCGTGACTTACGTTACCTGTAGTTTAACGCAGCTTTGAACAAAACTTCAGTTTTTTCACAGCGTGTCAGCTTGATGTGGAAGGACATTCCTAAATGATGTGTGTGTTTGGTACTGAGATTAGAACACGCGATCATAGTTTTCTGGTACCTCTAGGAGACGCAAAGCGAATTGCGCCGTCTAAAACGACAGGGACAATCGTGTGTCAATTGAAAAAAAGATGTCGGAGACTAGAATTTATTAAATAGAAATACAAAGTATTTGTTTCTTGCTGTGAAAAAACCGTTTGGTTTATGAAAATCGACACAGACAATAACGATTTATGAACTGATTTTTAAAGCAACGATGAACGATTTGTTTTCATTTTGAGAAAGCAAACCACGTTGCCTTTGCTACTTTGGTTTAAGAACTACTGGAGATAACAAAAGACAACTGGAGTTTGAAAAGGAGTATAACCATTTCGGCGCCTGCGTAGATTAATACACTTACTACGCATGCGCACCATTAATCGGAACGGGCGACAATACTGAAAATGTCCAATGTCGCATTGTGGCATTGTCGCGCTTTGGTCAAATAAAAACGATTATTCAAAGCGCGATAATGGGACAACTGTCCATAATGTCGCGTTCTCCCATTGTCGCGCTTTGGTTAATCTTGACACTTCTTGCTTGTTTTTGGAAGGGCAACAATGCGACACATCGACAACGCGACAATGTCCCTTCTAGTATTCCCTATAAATGAGCATTGGTTTACTTTACAGCTTCAGTCTAATATCAGGTTTCCAAAGATTTCCCGCTGTTAAACATTGTGAATGTATATCGAACAGTCAGCGATTTTGTTTTTTGAGATCTACATAACATACATAAAACATAAACATAAATCTTCATATGTCAACCTTTTCAATTTATTGTGGAAAATTTCCAATATTGTAATGAGGTTCATTGTGATCTCCCAATAGAGATTTGATAAACGCATATAAATACAATCAAACCTTTTCAATATACTCTCAATCTATAAGAATGTGTTATGACAAATAAACATCAACTTTAAATGGTAAAATACAAAACAGAGCTGGGTATGTCCGTACTAACGGCAGTGTTCCAATACACATTTACTCACAGGGATCTTAGGGGTTACAGAACAGATCCCAAGTAACCTATGTGGTCGTAATGGGCGACTAAAGGGATCGGATGCTATGGCTAGGTGATTTGGTTGAAGGCATGTTTTCAAGAAGAAAGGATTCCTGCACATCAGATAGGATCACAACAAATATTTCATGTTAAGGATTTTATGCGCGACTGTTACTGACAAAACGTCGTTTGGGGTGTCATACTTGCGGCTTGGGGCGTTGTTCATAATATCACTGGCCTCACTGGTTACTGGACTATAAAAAGGACCGACTTCATATCGCCTTTGAGTTGCTAAATATGGAGCTAAAAACAAACAAGCAAATACCTACTGTCAGAGTTCGGAATTTTCCACTAGTTCAGATAAATGTCTTCTTTTATATTCTTCGTTCTTCTGTACAGTGTATATGTAAATAGTGTCGCCCAGGTAAAATGGCGACTTGTACACACGTGATGTAAGCATGACGCATGCGCACAATAGTTTAAATGATTAAACCTGATTGGATGATTATAAGTCCAAAACGCGAGATAGCGACACTTGACCAATATCGCTATCTCGCGTTCTCGCGTTCTCGTGTTTTTGTGCTTATAGCCTATACAGTTGTATGTAACTATTTTCAAAAACACGAGAACGCGAGAACGTGAGATTGCGACATTGGTCAAGTGTCGCGATCTCGCGTTCTCGTGTTTTTGTGCTTATTGCCTATACAGTTATATGTAACTATTTTCAAAAACATGAGAACATGAGAACGCGAGATTGCGACATTAGTCAAGTGTCGCGATCTCGCGATCTCGCGTTCTCATGGTTTTTGTGCTAATAGCCTATACAGTTGTATGTAACTATTTTCAAAAACACGAGAACGCGAGAACGCGACATTAGTCAAGTGTCGCGATCTCGCATTCTTGTGTTTTTGTGCTAATAGCTATACAGTTATATGTAACTATTTTCAAAAACACGAGAACGCGAGAACGCGAGAACGCGAGAACGCGAGATTGCAACATTGGTCAAGTGTTGCGATCTCGCGTTCTCGTGTTTTTGTGCTTATAGTCTATACAGTTATATGTAACTATTTTCAAAAACACGAGTACGCGAGAACGCGAGAACGCGAGATTGCGACATTGGTCAAGTGTTGCGATCTCGCGTTCTCGTGTTTTTGTGCTTATAGTCTATACAGTTGTATGTAACTATTTTCAAAAGCACGAGAACACGAGAACGTGAGAACGCGAGATTGCGACATTGGTCAAGTGTCGCGATCTCGCGCTCTCGTGTTTTTGTGCTAATTGCCTATACAGTTATATGTAACTATTTTCAAAAACACGAGAACACGAGAACGCGAGATTGCGACATTGGTCAAGTGTCGCGATCTCGCGATCTTGCGTTCTCGTGGTTTGTGCTAATTGCCTATACAGTTGTATGTAACTATTTTAAAAAACACGAGAACGCGAGAATGCGAGAACGCGAGATTGCGAGATTGGTCAATTCTCGCGATCTCGCGTTCTCGTGTTTTTGTGCTTATTGCCTATACAGTGATATGTTACTATTTACTAAGGTAATTCGTCACGGTAAACTCGCGTGCAACGGCGTAACTGAGGTGCGCACGAACCATTGTATCCAACATTTTTAAGACACTGCTTATTACTGTCTACAAACTGAAAAAGTTGGAAGAATGATGTTGGATGATGAATAAAATCTCACCCTCG